GTCATGGGGTGACAGATCTTTTGTAGTTGCGGCCCCCCGTTTGTGGAACAGATTACCTCTTGAAATAAGATCAAGTTCGTCGACTGCTTTGTTCAAACGTGCTCTGAAAACACATCTATTTTTTGTTGCTCAAGGAAATTAATTTATTGTGAATTGATTTTTTTGTTTTTTTTGTTTTTTTGTTTTTTAATTTGTTTAGTTAGATGCCCACAAAACTGAGAACACCTGTGAGTCATGTACTAGCCGGTCTTTGCACCTTAAATTGCTGGTAAACGGAAGCAGTGATGTGGGTTATGGTCGTTTTTCTGGTAGCCTTTAGTTTAAAAGGATAAGCTTTTTCATGGTTTTCACAAGCGCCTTGAGCACTTTAGTGGAGATGTGCGCTTAATAAATCTTATTATTATTATTATTATTATTATTATTACCGATTAGGCAGAAGAAAAGTTTTTGAAAATAAACCTAAACCAAGACCCATCATCGTCAAATTCACCTCTTATCGTACCCGCTCAGCAGTCTTTCGTAACAAAAAATCTCTTAAGCAATCTGGTTTCTCAATTACTGAGAATCTTACATCTAGAAGATTAAAGCTCTTACATGAAGCATAAGAAGTGAGACGGTTGAATCTGCATGGTCCATGGATGGGAGGATTTACTGCGAGACGAAGAAGAGCATGAAGAAAGTCGTTATCAAGTCCGAATCCGAACTCCGTCATCTCTGAACTATATGCAGGATATTATTAACGATGAGATAAGTACTATACTAACTCACTAACTGATTAAACTGGAACACTAAACTGCATGATTGTCATTTTTTTTTCTGCATTTTCTTTCATCATTCAGATCAGGTTGGAACTCTGACTTTTTATTTAAATTTTGTATTAACTTCAATTTCTTTATTAGTGAAATTTTGATGCTGCTGTCAGTGCTGCTGATGCTTTTAACTGATTTATTCAATTATTCCATTTAGTAACTAAATATTACTCTGCATGAATTTTCATCAATTCTTTTTTCAAAATGTTTTTTTCTGCTGCTGTTGTTTGCTTTTATCATTATTGGTGATCCGCAGCATTTGCGGATCACCTCCTGTTATTGTCAGAGATTTTTTTTTTTATTCTACATTCTGGCAATTATTGTTCGCACGATATCTCAAATTTGCCGAAAGCTATGCACATGACGACTTCAACAAACATTTGGCTTGGCCTGGAATAGTGACAATAAGCTTTGCAAGGTTACCAGTCACATGTGACGTCATCTACTGTACGTGCATTTTTGTGTTTTTTACGCAATTGATTACATCAGCCTAACCAATTGACATTTCGAAATCGTATTACGTGAGCATTAACTTCGAGTGAAGGTTGAATGTAATGTACAGTCATTTTGCGCGTGAAATTCATAACGCGCGCGTCAAAATTTTAAAATGGTTTTCAACATTTCAACATTTTTTAAATTTCCGGCACCGCGTGCACATTTTTACACGCGTGGCACGAACAGAAGTTAGAAATATTGTTTTTTTAAATGTTTTAGGTTCCTGACACTGTATTCACAAATTTCCAATCTTTTTTGGTCATTTAGGGTCAATAGCAATGCCGTACGCGCGCATAGAACATAAGAGCACATTTTTTTAAGAGCGCGTTTTTTTCAACATAGAGCAAAAATAAGCCAAAAGTATGTCTATTTTCAATCAATTATAGCTCCTTAGAATGAAAAGTGACCCCCAATTTGAATTATATATTCTGAAAGCACATGAAAGCACATATTTGTAATCTATCTTTATTTCCTTCAACTTTCCCTTCTGAGTGGAAGAAAGCAAAAGTAACACCTATTTTTAAAGATGGTGAGAAAAATGATCCAAGCAATTACAGGCCAATTTCTGTGTTACCTACTGTCTCTCAAAAAATAATTGAACGAGCATTTCATGACCAATTGTATGATTTTTTAAACTTATAACAAGATTATAAATACATCTGAATCTGGTTTTAGAAAGAACCATTCTATAAATACTACTCTAATAGATATATCTGATCACATACTTAATAATTTTAATGATGGTAAAGCAACAGCTGCCATATATTATTTATGGATCTTAAAAAAGCATTTGATACAGTTGATCATGAACTACTCATTACCAAACTTAAATCATATGGTGTTAACAATGATGAATTGCACTGGTTTATTTCTTATTTAAAGCCTCATTCCCGGTAAAATTTTTTTGGTAAGAAAAATCTAATTTTTGTAAATGTTATAAAAAATTTGTAAATATAATACGGAATTGCTAGTTTAACTGAATTTAGACTATCCTAAGCAAAAAAAAAATGTAAAAGAAGACTGAAATTTGATTTTTTTTTTGTGTTCTACACAAAAAATAAATACGGACGAATTTTTCATGTTTGATTTTGCAACAGGTCTGCGCAGAAATATAGTAGGCACTGAAAACATTAGCCTATCTAACACTGCTAGGCTAGGTCTAGTCTTACCTCGATTTAGATTTTGTTATCACACATAAAAACGGCCGACATGATATTTTCCGTTGCTAGTATTTACACTTGTGAAATATAATATTTCATAGGGATATTTTAAATTTGTTAAAAAACTGATTCTGACCGAGATTTTGACACTTGAACAAACATATCTTAGGCCTACTCGAATGACCACATTGTGCGAGATGCGAAGTACAAACAATAATCCACTAGAGAGGGCACACTTTATTGAATGTGTAAAGCTAGAGCATCCCAGCGGACGCAATCTACAACCTCTGAATTAGCCTAGTAATGAAGAATTCATCAAAAAATTGTAATATTCTATGAGAAATAGTCTGTATTTCCCTTTTTTTTTATCCTTTTGCGTAAAACTAAAATTTATACCAATATTTTTCCTTGATTTATAGTAATTAGAATAATGCA